GGAAGTGCGGAAGCTGCCAAATAACCGTGCCTGTGAGCCTCACCCTCATTATCAGACCAAACGAATGTATGCACCCCTGCACTTTCATCCTCCTCCAGGCCCAAGGAAAAGAAAGGCGGGATAAAAAAAAAAGCACCTTTGTACAAAGAAGTGCCTCTGAAGTCTGGAATGCACTCTGGCTGTTTGAAGACAAGATTTATACCTGACACCTTTCCTTAAGCTCATTGTTGAGACTCGTCTGTTTTCAAATCAACCGCAGACTGGTTGCTTGACGTACTTCATCTTATAACGACCACATAATCTAAGATAAATACACAGGGATTGCTATCACTTTCATTAACAACCATGAAATATTCCTTCCTTCAGCAGGTAAAATAAAAACAGACAAATGCACTCAGTGGGCTGAGGTTAAAAGGCTAGTGGGGGAGGGCTTGTTTGGGACAGGAGGGGCGGCTGGAGGGCATCTCACAGCCTCCCTATTGCTCCAGGACAGCTCACTTAGAAATGGCAAAGCCAAGAATTGAGTACTTGTTCCTCCAACTACTCACTCCTGTAGATAAGTGGCCAAAATCTAGCTCTCAGGCCTCTGCGTGTCGGTCTACTGCAATGCTCTGAGATATTTGGAGGTCCAGAGGACCTAAAAGCCCAAGAGCGAGGCCTTTGGTAGTTTGGGATGCTGAGATCTTAAGGCCAATGAGAAAGACCAACAGGGAGAGTGGGCTTTCCAGGCTCACGGCTGACTGAGAAAAGACACTAGGTTTGGGGCAGGATGATAACAGAGTTCGAGAGCGAATCTGTGAGCTACAGCCAACTTTTGAAACACCATCCTCCTTTGGCTAGTCCAATGTGAATTGGCCTCCGTGGCCGGTGACTGAGGCAATTGGAATTGGCACCCACAGAGAATGGAATTCTGCTCTCAAGGTCATGTTTAGAAAATGGTCAAGCCAGAGAATGATTTGTGTCAATATCAAGCTTTCTGTGGCTTCTCATGAATTCCTGACTATGAGAACATGCTGGAATAATGCCTGATGAAGTGTGTACATGGAGGGTGGAGGTGGGGGTGATTCAGGGCAGGCAAAGGCTTCAGGGAAGCCAATGAGGTCATTGCAAGGTTAAAGTTCTGGTAGAGGGGCCAATGATGCTCCTTGTAGCCCTTTGTCCTGGAATTAGGGGACTCATATAGCCTGGAGGATGGAATACAAAGTGACCTGGAGTTGGCAATTTGCTTTCCCAGAGAGCAAGACAGATGGAAAGGAAATTAAAGTTTCCCAGTGTTTGTGATGCAGAGGATATAGTGGGCCAGATGCCGGGAGGTGAGTTGAAAAAGTGGAAACAAAACTGCCTTTTAGCTAGTGTTGAGAAAGAGCCGAGGAAGGTGGGGCGTGGAGGGAGGGGTGAACCAATGTTGGCTTGGAGAAGTTAAAGTGTCATGTTCTCAGGTGAAGGGAGACTGTAACACAACATTCACCATGCTCTGGTCCACTTTGGGGTCCTCCTGGATTTTTCATGACCAAAATATTGCATCTCCCAATGCTTTGATTTTCTGTGATGTTCAAAAGCTGTGACAAAATGATTCAAGTTGTAAGGTTTCCAAGAGACCAAGTTTCCCACGGCAGTCTCTGGGCTGAGGGAGGAGTTAGGGCCTCCAGCCAGGCCAGCACCTGGATGTGGAGTGCACCCTGAGAACTCATCCTGGATGCTCAGTGAACGGCTGCTGGGGCCAATGGGTAGTCCTGATGGGAAATTAGCTTCACAGAAATGACTGAGGCTGAGGCTTGCCTCAGAGTATATCTGCATGACTAGAGCCAAATGTTTGCTACTAATTCAGCAGCTTGGCACAAAACACTGTATGAAAATTAGGAAGATGTGTCTTCTGAAACATTAACTTTTCCACAGGTCTGTCACTATGGAACTTGAGCCTCTTTTTAAAACACTTACACATGCACATAATCACATACATATCTACCTGAAATAGATTATAAAACAACACAATCCTTTCTACGTGATATTTTCTACTCTAGTCCATGTTATACAGTGCTATGCTATGTATTCCCTTCCATTAAAAAAAAATCTAGTCTTTACCCACTAACTCAATTTTGCGATACACTAATGGGAAGCAACTGGCGGTTTGAGAGAACAATGCCTTCCAGGGAGGGAGGATGGGTGCCCCCAGCCAGCAGCCAGGATTGAAGGCAGCTCACAGGGAGAGCTGACAGATTGGGAGGCAGGAGGGTGGGCTTTCCTCCCGGCTCAGCCTGGACATCTTAAGCAATCACAGGTCTCTCTGGGCTACAGTTTCTCTGTTGGTGAACCAGAGTGCCGCAATTGATGATTTCAAAAGGTTCTGTGTTTTTAGGACCTGATTCGACAGTTTCTTTGAAGACTGAACAGAAAACAGGTGATCTGCACCTTAGAATTTTAGTGGAGAATGGTTGGAGTTTGCAAGGTGATCTTGATGGTGGCCACCTCTAAAGACCAACCATTACACTCCTCCAAAATAGTGGATATCAGAATTTCCCTAAACCGGATCATCAAATATAAGTATTTTCTAGAACTTTTGAAAGGGTGGGAGCATGAAGAATCAGCATGGAGTACACACTTCTACATTGCCCTCACCAAATAGAAACATGGCCTTAGTTATTGACATTTTTTCATAATTTCCTGACTGTGAAAACAGTATATACTAATTGTAGAATGTTTTCAAATATGTAAAAGTATAAAGAATAAACCTAAAACTCACTTGTAGTCCTACCACCCAGAAACATTACTGAGATTTTGATATATTTCCTTCCATTTTATATATATATATATATATACACACACACACACACACACACACACACATATACATATTAATTTAATCACATAATAATTTAATAAGCATCTCTTTGTCATGAAATATTCCTCAGGAACATGGCTACATAGTAGTTCACCACATGAATAAGCCATGAGAATTTAATCCATCTCCTAAGGACTGACAGTCAAGTTTATTCCAATGTCTTTCACTATTATAATTAATGTAACAATGTACATAAATCACATAGTGTAAAACAATCAAACTCTTCCCTTAGAATAAATTCCTAGTGGCAAAATTATTGAGTCGAAGATCCACAGATGCAGGAGAGCTCAGTCACCTGGTAGTCCCTCCATCAGCGCCTGTCTTACTTAGCTGGCACAGGGCAGAGTCTACAGAATGGCTATCTCTGGGGATTCTTGTTGGCCCTAACTAGATTTTGGAGTCTCAGAGAGAAGAATGAGCATGTTTTGTAATGAAAGAATAAAGACAGAACTGCCTTTTTGGTTATGAAGATTCTGAAAAGCACAGATACTTTTATTAAGTGACTATTCATTGGCAGAAGATGTTATAGTTATTTTCTTTTCTGAAGCTCTGTGGTCAAAATGAACTCAATTCTCATGCAAGGGACACTGGGCCGAGCTCAGCCTTAGGTGGGTGGCTGAGGATTCGGGGGGCTTCATTGAGAAAGTCAGAAGTGAATCAGGTCTTCCGACCTGGGGCTTTACCTCTCTGCAGTCTGAGTGTGCAGGGCCCACTGTTTCATATGAGTGGTCCCAGTGCTGGAAGAAGACAGAAGAAATGGATTTATGTCAAGCATGGGCAGGCCAACTCTTATTTTTCCAAGCTGATATTTGTAAGAAAAGCCCAGCTGTGTTCAGGGAAATGAACGAGGGGAAATGCAGCTGTGAGATGCGTCATGAGTGGTTTCTCCCAATATCCTCTCCCAAGATATAACAGTTTGGATAAAATCCTAGAGGAATTTTACTCTGTCCGTAAAGCACAGAAGGGAAAACTACAAACACATTCCAAGTGGGATTATAAAGTCTGTCGGGGGCCAGCATGTGGGATACTTTCAAGGCATCCCCACCAGGCCTTTTCTGAGCATTTCACGAAGCTGTGACAGTGCGCTGCCTACTCTGGCAAGTCACTTATTCCCTCATTACGTTTCACACATATTAACTGAAGTTACTGCTCATGAAAATCTTACGAAATAGCTGGGTTTTGTTGTGCCTGTCTTACAGATAAAGAAATTGAAGATTAAAGAGGTTAGATCAATTGTCTAAGTGCACACAACCAATAAATGATGAAAAAGAAACTCAAATCAAGAGGTCCTCGCCCAAAGCCAACATCCTTCCCAGCAGCCACGACACAGCTCCTCCGTCAGCATGACGTTAGCACACGTACTTCTTAAGCCAACATATTGTCATTTTGTCCGAGAGACTGAATAGAGTCACACTGAATTAAAAGCACAAATTATAAGATCCTCACTCTTTAATGGTTATGTTAAAGATCTACAAATACTCATAGTGTTGGTCTAAGATAACTGCAGACAGGCGCAGAGATGCCAAGGGAAGGGTTTGCCACTGTGGTTGCTGTTTCTTATCTCTGTGGCTCTGCACGTCAGTCGAGGTCAATTTCTGTCACAGTCCCGTGTCTAGGCACATCAGAGGCTCCGAGCTCTTGTGTGCTCCCTAACCTTGATCACTTGAGTGTGTGCCTAAGTCCAACAGTAGAGTTGCTTTAGAGTTATGGAAAACTGCATTATGAAGTTTTATGCTGTATATTCTTATTTGAAATTCTGGGCAAATGTAAAATAACTACGTTAAGCAAAAAGATCTGCAGAAACTCCAAATCTAGAAAAATTGAAGTTCATGGAAATATGAGAAAAAAAAATTCAATTTGCTTTTAAAGGCTGTTTATAGTCTGTTTCTAGGGTGCCCATAAAAGACGTTAACTTTAAAAAGATTTGAGTTGTAAGAACTACAAAAGGACACTTTAAAAAATTAACCTTTTTTGTTTTGAGATAATTGTAGATTCACATGCCATTGTGAGAAATAATACAGAGAGATCCTGTGTCATCTTGCGAAATTATACTATGATATCACCCATTCAGTCAGGCGTCGATCTTCATACAGTCAGGACATAGAATAGTTACAAGAGGACTTTTTAGAAACTCCATTTTATAAAACTCTATCACCTGCAGGAGCCAGTTGCCATTTCAACAGAAGAATGAACCGAGGACTCTTCTGGATGTTCTGACCAATCCGAGGCGATTCCCAGGCTGAGAATCTCATGGGTGCGCCTGGACCTGACCTGCAACCTGCAAAGAAGGGTCCCCTGCTTTCTGTCATTCTACCATTCTCTGAAAAGACGTAGGCAAAAGGAGGAAAGTGAGAACAGGCAGAAAAAATGTCTACACCCTCCGGACTAACAATGGACTAGAAGGCAAGGGGTGTCCAGCCCCAGCTCCAGTGCTGGACAGTCCTTCCCTTATTTCTTGGATCATTTTTCTAATCCGTAAGATTAGGCAGCCGAGCCCAGCACTATCCAATAGGAAGGCTACTATCTACATGAGGCTGCCGAGCACTCGAAACATGGCGAGTGTGACTGAAGAATTCAGTTTTTCATGTTAATTAGCTTTAATCAATTTAAATGTAAAGACACAAGGGGCTAGTGGCTACCCTATTAACCAGAACAGAAGATGGTTTTCCAGATCTCTCCCATCTCTCAAATATTATAATTAAAATGTCCTTGTCTAGATGGGCCATCTAGCCTTCCTGTGGGATAGGCAGTGAGCCTTCCTTCTGAGAAAACTGAGGCTCAGAGATATCCGGGACTCTTCTGAGGTCACACCAGTGAATCTGTGCTAGAGCTAGAAGCACACCCCTAGTCATGTGACTTCTAGACCAAATCACGGTCCTTTTTGTGTTCCACCAACAGCTCAAAAGCACCACCACCAACATTCAATTGTGATGAAAATAAATCAAGTCATCGAACTGTTCACCATTCCCCAAAACTGAATATGAAACCCAAATATATGAAAAAAAAAGTTCTCATTCTAACTATAAGAAAGGCAGGCCCTTTTGGGGTGGTGGTTGTGGGGGGAGGAACAACCATGGTAACCAGCGACTGAAATGAGGATAATTTTTTGACAACTAAGATACTCCTATTTAGAGAACAAGATTTCTGTGAGCAAAATGGAACAACAAATAGCAAGCCAATTCTAGGAGAAAATGTTGAAGATAAATCCACGAGAGCTTACAAAATATCAGCTTCGATGCTGTCTGTGTTCGGCTAAGCTCACTGCTCATTCAGTGATGGCACCAGCCCATCGGTGGGCTTCTACAAGAGACCTAGTCCTTTCTCATCAAAGGAGGCTCCAGAGAATTACAGACACGACACGTTGGAAAAAGAATCCCACCAAACATGTAGCATGACAAAGACATACTTAACAGTGCATTTAGAATAAAAAAATAATTCATGCATTTCTAATTAAATACTATAAAGTTTAGCTTAATTAAAAAAATATCTTTAATAGTCTAAGGCTCTTTATCTTCAATAATGCAACCTACGTATTTTACGCATCCTAAAAACTGTTATTTAATATTCCTCCAAGCATTTAAAAACTGTCCCACCAAATCAGAAAATGTGTGTGGTTGTGTGTGTGTGGTGGTGGTGGTGGGTGGGGGGGTTATATCTTTTAATGACCATAAATATCCTGGTTGTCCCCAGATACAGGTCTTCTACTGAGAGAAAGAAATGGCAAACATAGGAAGACCCTTAGAAGGCTTTTTAGCCCGCAAGGGTTTTCTCCTCCTGAGCGCCAACAGGCTTTAGAGGGATTTGGGTATTTTCCTCTTATCTTTGGGAGACTGTGCACTTCTTTCATTATCCTTTTAGCTAAGGCTACAGTTTTAAGTCTCCTTTGCCCTCCCTTGGGTTTATGGTAATTGAATGTTTGATGTAGGAGAGGTGGGGCTCTCTGTGCATTATTGGCAGGTGAAGAGAGGGAGGCCTGAGGTTTTATCACATCACAGATAAAATTCAATATTGGGGCCTTTTATGTCTCACAGCCCACCTTCTTCTGTCTCTTCCTGTATTTGTCCTCCCTCTGCCTTTTCCTTCTGTACCCACTTCATCCCCCAGGCAAAGATATATTTCCTGAAAACTGGAAAAACCAGGTACTAACAACCTTAGATCAGTGCTAATTAAATTAGGTTATAAATTCAGGCCCAGTTCCCTTATCTGTGAGTGACACCTTCTGCTTTCCAACTGGGCTCTTAATATGCACAATTAAAGCATCTGACATCACCATATCCTTGGATCTAATGTTGTTTATGCCATTAGCATATCAAAGTGTTTTGATCAGACTGACTTTAAAGCAATCCTCTCCTGGTCTTTTTTGGCTCCCCCCACCTCCATCTCATGTATTAAATTTCAAGCACTCAAAAATGTATCATGTAATATTTTTTCTAGTTGCTCGAGTTCTGTTTTTGTTATTTCTGTTATTAATATTTTAATTGCATCGTCTTTACAATGAACACATGAACTGTGTGTAAAAGATTTACTATGCTGAGAATGGCATTAAGTCACTTTGAAACTTTAAGAAGTGCAGTGGAGGCCCATTACAGGTTGAGGCCCTTTGAGATGACATTCCTCATGGCTCACAGTAAGTGCCATTATGTGATGTCTCATGGGGCCACTGTGTGGTAATGTGGGGCCAGAACACAGAGCCTGTGATCTCCTTCCTCAAGGCAATGCCAAGAGTCCACGAGGAGTAGGCTGTCTCTAGTCTGGACACCAGTCACAAGAGTTCAATTGCCTCTACTTCAATCTATAGTAAGGGAGCCCACCTAATTTCAGGAACACCCACCCCCGCTGTGTTGGCTCTACCTGTGGAGTAGGGAGTAGGGTTCATGCTTGCCCTTCTTCTGAGCTACCATTTGTAAGGTTCCATTCGAGGAAATCCAGGAGCCAGCCCGCGAAGGTAACAGGATGGGGAGGACTGGACTCCTTGGAACGGAGGGCGCTGACTACAGGAGCCATATGGACTGACAAACACCTCCACAAACATGATAACCAAAGCCTAAAAATGTAAAAAAGCAAGGAAGCAGAGCAGGACACCAGCCAATCTTGTATTTTTGAGGTCTAGGAGAATCAGTTGTGGGTTCATATTTCACAGAGAAAACCAGAAAAACATTTAAGAATATCAAAGGCTAGAATTTTCTTTTACTTCAACACTTCATGTTCTCCCCAAGGCTGCAGTGAATATACTGTGGAAAATATGGTTTGAGGGCTTGCAGGCTAAGAGAGAGAGAGCAGGTCTTTAAAGTTAATGTTTACGCATTTCTTGCTTGTCTTTTCATCCTTTTTTTTATTATCAAAGAGACTTATAACAGTCCTGTGTGCAATAAGCAACTTCCTGATTTTTTTCTGCCAAAACAAGG